AGAGAGAGGAGAGAGAGAGAGAGAGAGAGAGAGAGAGAGAGAGAGGAAGAGGAGAGAGGAGAGAGGAGAGAGAGAGAGAGAGAGAGTGACTTTCGCTTACTAGTTTCTGACGTAACAATGGCAGAAGAAGTGATATAACACAGTTTTGTTTTCTCCATTTCGATGGTGTTCAACCAGCGCAAGTGACGGACCTGAATACCCTCACTGCTATGTATTGGTGATAGCGGAATTATCCACTGACGTCACGCGTCTCCTTTCAGACGGTGTGCGGCCGGCGGCGGATCTAGAGATGACGTCATACATCACTCGGTCTCTGATCGACCTGTCAGGAACGGAGAACTTGCTCACTGCCCAAAAGGCTGTGAAGTGGATACAAGAGCAGCGGTCCACGCTGTTCTTTAAATCACCTCAGGTCAGACCTCAAACAATGAGGCTGGGTAAAATTGTCCATAAGACCATTTGAGTTGGAGATAGGTCCGGCGACAGTTATCAGAACAATATTCTTATTGGATGTCGCGGCTATTTTATGAAACACATAACATAGTTGCTAGTCAAGTAATCACATAATTCATAGGTAAAAAGAATGGTCTTTTATGATTCAGCAGTCAATATCACCAGTGCTGAGGATTGGTCCAAGTAGGAACGTGGATATTGAGTGTGTCTCATTTTGTATAGGTTTCAACAGTTATGCACGTCGCCAGAACCCCTGAAAATAAGTTTTTACAGTTTGGCATTCAAGCCCGCCCGTCTACTGACTCTATGCTGGGCCGGCAGGCGACAGCGGCATCTCTCGAGGCACTGGCGGCGTTCGCGCGTCGAACGTACAGCTCACAGGGACGGTCCGAAGTGTCGGTAACAATCGGCAACTCGCATCCGTTCTACGTGCCTGTGGACGCCCACAGGAGACTCCTCCACCAGACGTACCGGGTCACGAACGTAGAGGTCAGTCGCATTCACTGACGCCCCGGAAAGTGTCGAGCGATATTCACTGGCGCCTCACTGGAATCGAGCATTACATATCAGGTTTCCTTATGAGAATGTTTTTATGCTGATATGCTGAAATACTCAGCCATATTTTCGATACGTAACGCGACGCATCACGTGACTTTATAATCACAGTGGATATAAATCTATTGATTTTACCAGGTTTTGATAGTAAGATTCTAACACCAGTTTCTTTTCGTCTTTCAGTTGCCGACCCGTGTCCACTTCGAGGTCACTGAAGGCTGCGTGACCTTGAAGACATCACTTCGCTACGCGAGTACCTTGAAGGTGAATGTTTAATTGAGCCGAAATAAAAGAAAAAAAAGCAGAAAAATCGTGCTGGAATTAAATAAAAGCTCGTCATCGTAGTAATGACTACTTTCCAGTGTTTTCACTTGTTCTCTGATGTTCTCAGTTTCCGGCGCCGTCGTTCGAGCTGACCGCTGCTGCTACTGAGCGGCCGTCCAACACTCCAGGAAGCACGTTCACAATCTCCACGTGCCTGGCCGTGAAGCCGTTCCTCAATCACGTCGACGCCGCCACTGTCATCGTGAATTTGCCCTCTGGATATGTGGCTGCGAGCGCCAGCCTCCGCGCGCAACGATATGAACGCAGTAAGAAAAGCTGGCCTGGGACAAGAGGAAGGAGTCGACACCGTTCCGTGCTTCTATCCTCAGTATACTGAAATCCTTCTCCTCCACGCCGCAACCCCCTTCCGGGCTGGACAGGCAACTTTATCTCGTGCGGGCTGCTCCCTTGGAGCGACACCGCTGCTCCCGAGGGAGCGCACCCCGTAGCCGGGTGCAATGAGTGCCTTGGGGCTGGGTGGCCTGTCTTCTGGACGGGCTCAGCCCCGGCGGCTCACTAGGGTGCCTGCCCAGACCAATGTCTCCCCCTATATCCTATTATCCTTCCGGCTCTGAAATGGTCTCATTGGACCGAAAGGGCCTAATCCAACAAAAAAGAAAAAGAAAAAAAGAAAGAGTCGATAGAATCTTATTTCGAGGATGGTTAGAGCCCGGTTCCGACTACGGTCACTTCAGGCCCAATCAGGCCAGATCAGGCCCAATAATTCCCAAAAAGGCTGGAAAAGGCTTACGGCCTGACGGCATGCTAGTGCGAACCGGAGCAACTGATCCGGCCTGAACTGGCCTGATCAGACCTTCAGGCCAGATCAGGCCGAAGTTAACTTCAAGTCAACTTTTTGCGCCTGATCCGGCCTGATCTGGCCTGACGCTGCGCCCGCCATTTTGAATTTGCATTGGCGCATTTGCGACGTGACAATGCGTGGTATTCGAAATCGTGCCCTTTTTGACACTCTGCAAAATAAAAGTGCCTATTTATATAAATGCACACAAAAAAAACAGACCCAGTATGAATTAGGCACGAGACGTTGCGCATGGTCCTTTTTTATTTGATTTTTATTGTGGCCTAATTTGTGTCATTTCGGGCTTTGAAGGATGAATAACTCCCATGGTTGCTATACTGATTGCTGTTTTGTTTAAATTAATTATGAACGTTGGTTTCGACAAGTCCAACATTATTTCAACCAAATTAGCGTTTCTTTTAAAATTGATTCCAAAAAATAATGTGGTACTCATCAATATCGTAGCAAGATAACCATTCAAGCTTACGAGAAATAAATCGGGCTATGGTGGAAGATCCAGGTTCAAGACAGCCTTTACAGCCGCCTGACCTGTCGAGCATCAGAAATCCAGCTCGTCCACCTTCCCCGTCTGAGCTCCCGGGCCGGGAGACCTAGCTTAGAACAGTAACGGATGGCTGCGCCTGATATGAGCCGCTCCAGCAAACACCAGGGAGGGATGAAAGTAAACTTTTGGAAGGTTTGCTCGAGAAGGACACTCGCTCTCGGTCGCCCTCGATGCCACGAACCTCTGCCGAGCTGTTGCGGTGTCTTCTGCGGCAACTAAACTCATCGTCGCCGGCACCGAACAGGCTTCCGCTACCTCTCCTAGATCCCGTGACTTTCTGTTATGACTCGGACTGTATGGAACCAACCGCTACTCCATTCGCCCCGCTGGACCCCACGGCACAAAAGGACCTATCCTATATCGAATGGCAGCTTGGCCGGGGAGACTCATTTCCAGACCAAAGAAATTTGACGGGAAGACAAGAAACTAAACTCCTAAGTCGACATGTTCCATGTGCCAGATAAATTTGTGGCGGGAAACCACAGCGGGTACCTATGTGTGAGCAAAAAGCAAACCTTGTTTAGGTCAAGCTAATCGAGACCCTAAACGTGCATGATGACATGAAAAGAGTCATAAACAACGGGCTCTTATTTCTCGGAGCTGAGTTGCGTCAATGCTTATATCTTTGTTAGTGTGGTAATTGTCTGCAAAGCACATAAGAACCTACAACATAAGAACATGCATGTCTTTTCTGTTTTCTTTTAGCCACTTCTTAGATTTTCGATAAAAATCATGTTTTTATTACTTAAAACCACATTAAAACATGTTACGCAGTATGATTAAGATTATCGGTTTAAGGTTTTCATTATATAGAACGATTATACCAGTAAAACGTCTTTGGAGCTGACAAACGGGCGAGCACGAGAGTTGAGCTCATCAAGCGAGGAAGTGCGAAACAATACCTATTCCAACTGACTTGTGCGGGACACGCTTCTAACCAGTCCGTAACCAGTCCGCAATCGGACCACCCGTTCTCGAGATGTAGAAGCAGCAGTCTGCACGTGCGCACGTGCATACTGGACCCCAACTGACTTGTGTGGGACACCCTTCTAGTCGATCTCTAACGGTGTACCAAATTTGAGAGCAATCGGCCCAGCCGTTCTTGAGATGTGGAAGCGGTCCCTGCACGACGCACGTGCGCACGTGCAGTAGGACCCCAAATGTGAAACGTTGAAATGCATTGTCCGGTGGACGCCTACCGACATATGAAGCTCCAGCGCAATCGTCCCAGCATTTACCTAGTTGTTGTAATGAGAGCGAATTTGACACCTCTTCATTTTGCACGTGGCACGTGCAGGGGAAGGGGCAACAAACATGCATCGAGAGTACATAGTCTGGTATGGGAAGAAGATACCAAAAGAGACTATGGGTCGATCGCCACAGATTTGGCTGAGATATGAGCCTATCAAAATCGTTACTTTGACCGAGCGAAACAACTATGAAACCCTTGACTTCACATGTGCCACGACAGTCACTTCGATGCATCATGAGTAGTCAATTTCGAGCTGGAAGGGATGGGGATGAGGCTATACTTAACAAAAAAAAAGACCATAGGTCAATCGGCCCAACGGCTGCTGAGATAAAAGTCTCGCATAAGCGTTACAAGCTGCGCCAAACCGGGCCGGGCTGCTCATGCTCAGACTTGTAAGCTATTTAGAAAATCGCAATTCGCTCTCGCTGGTAAAAAAAAAAACACGCACACATTTAAAAGATATTTGGTGAGGCAGACCGACGGCCTGACGCCTGACGTCTGGCGTCTGGCGTCCCATACGGTCTGATCAGGCCGAGCGTCCGACGTTCAACTTTGGCCTGAACGCCTGATTGGGCCTGATCTGGCCTGATCTGGCCTGATGTGGCCTGATGTGGCCTGAAGCAACCTCATAGTCGGAACCGGGCTTAAGAGGACTGTAACTGCCTATTACTTCTTCTAGTATTACTTCCTTTTGTTATATCCTATTACTTTTTCTATCTTATTTCTATTATTCTCACGAATAAGAGAAACTAAAACTTGTTTTAACTTGTTCAAGAAACAACTATAGATAGCTTGTTCTTGTCAAATCCCTAGATAAATTGGAGATGCGGAAATTTTTCATCCCTTTACCATTGCTGTATTTTACTATTAACGACACAATTTTGATATCTCCCCGACCCCCGTGTCTTGCAGTAATCAAAGACTTCAAGCTGCCTGTTGACGCTGTGGAAGTGACCATGAAGGACATCACCCAGGAAAACAAGTGCTTTAGCTTCCGTATCGTTCGCGAATCAATTGTCGAAAACCTGAAGCCGGCCAAGGTCCACGTCTTCGATTTTTATGAGCCCGGCCATCAGGCCCAGACGGTACGTGCGGAGCTTGATGTTAACAGACAATGGCTAACACAAAGGCTTTTAGTTCGATTCTGAACCACTTGTATCTCATTGGGTTGTCTCTACATCTACGTCTTGTTTTCTTAACCCGCGCACCGACGGGGGTCTGCGCCAACTTAGTACCGACGGGGGGGGGGGGGGCGGATGACCGACCCCCCCCTGAGATCTCGAGAACGAAGCAAGATAGCGACAAGCGGTAAACGGCATCGGATATGCACGGTCAAGATCTACAATTTTTACTAAGGTCATTTTCAGGTCAGGTCAAAGATGACGTCACAGGGGTCGAAAAAGTCAAAATGGCGGCGCTAAATATGGAGAGAGTTTTTCTCGAATAACTTTCGAATTAGTCAAGATAGGAACAAACTAAGGTCATCATAGTGATCCTCTCGTCAATCCGCATCGAATGATATATATGTTGACCTCGAAAGGCCAAGGTCAAAGGTTGACCTCAGGTCACGTGACCTCGAGGTCATCATGTATATCATTCGATGCGTCTTGACGAGCTGAACACAATGAGACCATCCACGCGTCTGTATCTTGTTCCTGTACGGAGTTATTGGCCAAAAACCTTTGGTGACCTTTGATGACGTCACATGACCTCACAGGTGCCCAACAGCAAAACAGACCTCAAGGTAGTGAAGGTTGATCGTATATGAAGTCATGTATGGTATATGGGGCCATTCCGACCCGTTTTAGTGGTAAAAACAGGGAGTTGATTTTTCCCCCATTGACTTATAATGGGGAGGTCGCGAAATTGACCTGACCTTAGGTCACCGATATCAAAATTCCGAGATATACAAATTGTAGCTACTAATGACCTAATAACATCCTGCGACTTTCAAAGGCCTCCGACATCTACTGTAGCTCTGGCACGGTGACAAAGTTGCAAAAAAGTGACTTGAGGTTGGGTCATTCAAAGTGACCTGGTGACCTGACCTTGAAAGGTAGGAGGTTCAAACTTGCACACCATGTGTAAAATTGATAAGGGAATAGTCATACCAAATTTCGCGGCGCTACGCGCCGCGGTTTTCCCGCTATTCGCGAAAAACCTCAGGGGGGGGGGCGGATATCCGCCCCCCCCGTCGGTGCGCGGGTTAAGTTCATCTTGTGAAAGGGCGGAGTCTAAACGAATTACTAAAATATTTAACGTTGCAATCCCTGTTCGCAGGAGTACACGATACAGCAGAGCAGCGTGGTTTCTCAGCAGTCGCCAAATCTCCGAGTCTACTGAGGCCTTGTGAAGATAATCTCCCGATTGAAGATGATTGGATGACACCGACACGCACTCCTTTTGCTCCATTGGCGTTGTGTAATTTGTCTGCGATCTTTTTTTTTGGGGGGGGGGGCATGCTATTACAGGCCTTTATTCATAGTTTTGAAAGGGAATAAACATTTCTGGGGGTTGTAGATAGTTCAACTCATATGTAAACATGCTAAACAAGAGTCCAATAGGGTAAGTTTTAGGGACATGTTTGTTAATCTTGGAATTTAGCCATTCTGGAGCCTCTCTGCGAATTTTGAAGCAACGCTATGTTACGTGACTTTTTCGGATTTATTGAATAGGTATTCTTGAATACATGGTTAATGGATACTTCATTGTGTTAATGACTCAAACCAGTCAATCTTCTTTGCCACGGCCTCTCGCGACTCGCACCTACCAGAGAACAGAAAAACGTCTTCGTCTCGCAGCATAAAACACTCATGCTGTTAGATAGGTAGATAGAAGAAATTCACTTCATTTATCAGGACACACCCATAACAACATAGCCAATCGGTGCAAAGGCTTTTGCTTAACTTGCAGCACCTCTCGGCTAACGTCAGAATAGCTAGTGACACTCTTCCACTGCACGCACGCCCCCGCAGCACCGCCGCCACGCCGCCTAAACAGCACCCACCGCCGAACCGCCCGACCGCTCCGGCTCCGGCCGGCCCGAGGGGCCAGCCCGCCATACCGATGTTCATGACCTTGTATTGTATTGTATTGTATTGTATTGTATTACCTTCATGGACAATCCACGCGGGGCGGGGCGATTACAGTCCAGATCTCAATGCCCTAGATACCTTCTTTTTGTCTGCGTAGGCTTCGTGCAAGTGGAACCGTGCTTCATCAAACTTGGCTAAATGGATGCGCTCCATGACTCCAGTAGGAATGACACAGTTTTGAGTACGTATACTAGCGCTCTTAGTGACAAGCCCATGACTTACCTGGCTGGAGCGGACTGTCTGGAGTCTGGAGCGAATTGTCTGAAGTCTGGAGCGGACTGTCCGTAGTTTGATCACGTGCTCTGGTTTCTGCGTCAGAAGAGTAATCGACGTCATTTTCACCATCGTCGATTTGCGTGCGGTGCTTGCACCTTTTATAACTTTTGTGGAGGATCCTTTTGTCTTATCAGTCTAGCCTGGTCCTTCAACGTGACTGTCATTTCAACAGCATAGCTAGTAGCAAGTAAATGGGAAAGTACTTGTATGAACAGCATTATGACATATACTTATTTTTAAAGATAACCTTACGAGTACAGCCCACCGCTAAAATAATGTTCGGCTTTACCAATCTCAACGGATGGCTTTGACCGGCGATTTTTTAATGCGGAGTGATCGAAAAGATTAAAGAAGACGTCAATAGATAAAGTTGCAGCTGCAAGGGTGACGATGCGTGTAAGCAACGTTATTCAAAGTTTCATTGTAGTCTGGCTAATCGCTCCTAAGCTTTAGAAGCAGAACATACCCATGACTGAAACCGCACATTACTTCTGCTGTGGACTGTACCTTCAATGCTAGCGAAATGCGAAAGGCTCCAAAATCAATCACAAAATGAATACATTTCAGATACGGTCCTGCATCAGTTCAGAATCGCAAATTAAGTCATTTTGTCACAGACTTGCAACAGTGCCAGAATATATCGATAACGGCTAAGCTAGAAAATCATAGATTGGTAAATTCTCGGGCAGAACAGACAACTATCTTAGTTCGATACGATCGCAAGGTACCAGTACTCGTACCTACCCTTTCATGCAAACCTTAGAATATGCCTATGGGCTATGTGTCCACAATTTACGCATTAATTCATCCCTAACATCTATCAACCTTTATACTACTCCACCATCCGCCACCTGCTGGGTGACGAGTCACCCTGGGTTTTATCCGGCAGCATCTTTTCTTACATTTCATCAGTTTTCCTGTGATATACTCGTTTTACTAGTACAACGTATCTCAACTAGTTCTAGCCTTCTTCAGTTCGTCAGTTCTCTGTTGACATATCCGCTTTACCAGTACAGCGTTATGGGCGCAAAATGACCACCGCAGTCGACGCGCCCGTAAACCCTAATAAGCAAACAAACAAACCACTAGCATCCAGTCATCTTTTCAACCATCGAGCCATGCGATCAGTCAAACAGCCAACCATCCATGTACTCACACATCACTCAGCTATGGATAAATAATTTCACAATTCAGTCATCAAAACCATTATCTTGCATAAAAATATACTTTACCTTATCAGTAAACCATTCACTCAAACCTCGAACCGAACCATTCAATTATCACAGCGTCCAAATATCTTTAGTTCCCCTCTGATCTTGGATGACAGTAGCCGATTTCACGACGGCCATCTGGTACACATTTGGTTCACATCTGGTGCAGATTAGGTGCAGATTTGGTCAAATTAGGTTCAGTGTGTCTCTTAGTAGCTATCAGCTAGGGTTGCGCTAATTGCTTATATGCCTGCTTTGTCATATTATCAGAGAGCATCATCGATTAACCCGCGCCCGGCTGGGGGTCCTGGATTTCCACGCCCTGCTGGGGGGGGGGGGGGTGACTCGGCTCCTGGGCCACGTAGCGATACGCAGAAGGCGGCGTTCGAAAGAGCGCCAAAAATAATGACGAAATCACTTCGGTCACTTTTTTGGTCAGGTCAAAGGTCAGGTCACCAGAGGTCATTGAAGGCAAAATTTCGCCGATTTCCAGGTCGAATGTCGACATTTTCCTAGAAGCCAACGCATAACTCGGGAACCAATAGAGCTACAGCGCCGCGGAAAAGCGCATTCGATAGCCGCCCTATTAACGCCCTTTCTGAGTAATTCTCTCAGATTTGACCTAACGTCAACGGTTTTCCCTGCAGGGGGCAAAAACTGCAAAAATAGCCGATTTTTCGAAAACAGTTTTTATGCAATAACTTTTGACCCAAGCCTTGTACGAGCTTACTTTTACCGGCATCGTGTTCCTCTCGTCAAGACGCATCGAATGAACTATAATTTGACCTTGAAAGGTCAGCTTGAAAATTTGACCTCAGGTCAAGGTCATGACCTGACCGGAAAGGGTCATGCTGCATATCTGATATCAGTCGATCCGTATCGTCGAGCTGAGCACATCTAAGGCGTTTTCACCGCTCTAGCATGCCTCTATCAAAAGTTATTTGCAAAAAACTGTTAGACACCGTTCGTGACCTGAGATGACCTCAGGGGCATACATAGGGGTCACGGACACCATTGTCATGTTCAGTGTGTCTAAACCACTTGTAATTCAGTGTTTGGGAGTGTTTATAATGTCTTTCGTCCAAAAGAGGCGCATTTCAATTTTGTCTCATTGACTTATAATGGGAGGTCGCAAAATTGACCTGACCTTAGGTCACCGATATAAAAATTCCGAGATATATATTTGATAGATACTGTTACCCTTATCAATCGCTGAAAGTTTCAAAGCGATCAGTCACTCAATGTAGCTATAGCAGACATTGAAACTTTTTATGAGATGAGGTTACTTCAAGTGACCTGGTGACCTGACCTTGAATGACCTTGGTCTGAAATTTTCACAACATATGAAGAATCGATGTATGATAAGGTGTACCAAAAACGGCGGCGCTTCGCGCTGCCGTTTTTGAGATATTCGCAAAAAACCACAAGGGGGGTGTTCAAACACCCCCCAGCAGGGCGCGGGTTAAAACACTGAAATGAATTCATGAAATGAAGATAGTTGCTGTAAAATAGATTAGGTGCAGATTTGGTCAAATTAGTTGCACTCGCCGGATAGTCCGTCGTGAAAACGGCTAGTATCGGCGAAATTATCTTGAAATTGCGCCGCAGCATACAAATTGAAGGTTGTGGGTGGGTGTTACATTAACCCTCACCCGCACATGCCATTTTCCCATCCTAGAACGCACATGGGGGGGGATGCCACCCCCCACGCCATTTCTTTCCTGTTGGAGATAGAGCTTTGCGGTAAAGACCAAAAAGATTCGTTGGGAAGAAACGAATACAATGATACCCAGTTTTACCTTCTCAGGTCAGTCATTGACCTTCCAGGTCAGGTCAAACTAAACATTGTTGCTGTTTTGGGTCACCGTTGGAATATCAAGTGGGTGGGGGAGGGAGAGGTGTTGCCACCCCCTCCCCCCACGGGGACATAGTTTGCTGCTCTGCACGAAACATTTTGAAAGATAGAGGCTTGGTTTTTCGTATGGCTGCTTTTCTATTTTTTCTGTGTCCACTAAAAATTTCAAGTCTCTGTGATTTTGGTTTCGGAGATACGACCTTGTTCTTCAGGTCATGTCATGACCCAAATGATCAATACCCAATATCTTGCGTTGGCTATGGGTCTTGTGAGCTTTTGACACCTTGATTTTTTTTTTTTGCCATCCTTACCTCCCACCTATCATGGAACATGCTGTTCGACGACATACAGATGTCAGGGTCAGGATCAAGGTCAACCTAGGTCATCGAAAAGTATTGCGTTTTAGGCAAGCTGAATTTACTTTTCGTGAAGTTCCTTTGACTGCATTTTGGGTAAAAGCTTCTCATTTCATGAGTTCATGTAGGTAACAGGGACGACATACTCGTAATGAGATAAAACTGAGTACTATTGTATTTGTTTTTACCCAAAGAATCTGTTGGTCTTTACCGCGAAGCTCTATCTCCAGCAGGAACGAAATGGCGCGGGGGGGGGGGGAGTGGCAACCCCCGGCCCCATGTGCGCTCTAGGATGGGAAAATGACATGTGCGGGCGAAGGTTAAACATCTTTGACTGTTCAAGCGACAGATAGTATGGGGCTACCCAACAAAAAAGACTGCATTTCAATCGTCCCAGCAATTTCTGAGAAATAATCCATTAATTGCGTTCCATGCCGGCCCGGGCCAGGCCGCTCATATTAATTTCAATCATTTCTCCGTATACTATGACTAGTTTCACAATAACATCCAGTTTTCAAATACCAACAACGATATCTGTACTCTGTAACATGCAAACCTTCCTTATGAAATAAAACATGCTCAAAGGTCCCGTACCAATTGTTGATTAAGCATTCCACAGCGATCAATCCTATGTCGTCGTCTGGCCAGCGGCTGACTGCAGTTATCTACCGATAAACACAATTCGTCCGAGATCATAAACACCTGCCGCCGACGATGCCACCATCTGAAGACCGACCAACACTGGTGTCAGTGGTGACTGAGGTCCCGGCCCGGCAGCACCACTGGTGACAGCTGATAACGTGTGAGAATCTTAGCCGAGAACTCAGTAAGTTCTCTGCAGCGTTTTGGTTGGTTCTCAGCAGCATCTCGGCCCGCTCTCAGCCACTCGGCAGAGCGCAGACATGAGGCCACCGGTGCTGTTGCCAGCTCTGGTGCTGGTGATGGGCACTAGGGTGTGTCACTAATCGCAATGCAAGGTGCTCCATCGATTTTATTGTGCTCCACTCATGTGGAAAGGGCGTGGCATTGTTAATTTCCCGCAAATTTTAACCCCCAGGCGGCGCCGAGCGAGAGAAGTTTGCCCTATCTCACAACATAGGCGATCTTAGCGCCCCTGGCGGCTGTTTGCGAAACTAACAGGCCGTTGACTGTATGGGCTTATCCCTGCTTTCTGTAAGCGCGTCTAGGGACAAATAATAGTATGGGTAGATTGCAGAGAGTGCAAGCTAATGACGAATACCTATAATGAATGCAATATATTGTCACAGGGGCCCAGGAACATTCTTCAAGTTGGGGTGCAAGCCCAAAATACCTGACATGACGCATATGAAATAGTAGCGTAGTCAGGGGGTCCCAGGAGGCACGTGCCATCTAGTCCCCCCCCCTATCGCATTCAGAGGACCCCTCGGGTCGGAGGGGCTCTGTGGCACCAGTTTACCGCTCAGGGTCTATGCTGGCCATATTTCGATTCAGAAAGAATAGGGCTCGTAACAGCACCTCGTGAGTCCAAAGAAGCCTCACTAAATTGTCCATGAGGGTTACACGCCGGCTTCTGAAGGCTACTGGCGGCCTCTGAGGGCCCTTTACCGGCCTCTTATGGCCGCTAGCGTGCCTCTGAGAGTCCTTGCCGGCCCAAGAGGGGCCATATCTAGGGCCTTACGCCAACCTGTAATCAGTAATGGCCTCACACCAATGTCTCAGACGGCCCCATTACGACGACTGTGAGACTGAGGGCCCTCACTGGTGCTTCTGAGAGCCCACCCGGCCATAAAGACCCCTGCGGTACCAACTGACCTCTGAGGGTCCACGCTGACTATATTTCAGCTGAGAAAGACCTCACAGGTCTCGTAAGAGCACCTCATGAGCCCCTAAGTAGCCACACTAAGATCTCCGTCAGGGTCTACGCCGGCTTCTGAGGATCCCGTAACGGAGACCGTGAGGGCACTCAGCAGGGCCTCTGAGGGTTCACAACCAGCACCTCTGAGAGACCCACACCAGTGGTTCTAAGGGCCCATAAGGACACCACTGAGGGTCCCCCAAGCCAGTGCCACACCATTTATGCAACCCTATATTGGTGGCTCTGAGGTACCCACACCTGCGCCTGTGAGGGTTCGGCAAAAGCATATCTGACGGCCACCTACCTGCAACTCTGAGGGCCCTACATCAGAGACTGAGGGCCGCACCGGCGTCTCAGAGTACCTTGTCGGTATCTAAGGACCCCACAGGGCTTCTGAAGATGCCGCCGGCCTCTGTGGGCCCCTTGCCGGTCTGAGGTCCCCCTCCCCGGTCGTTGAGGGCCCCCTGCCGACTTTTAAAGGGTTCGCACCAGCAGCTCTAAGGGCCACACACCCACATGTAACGGACCCACACCAGTGTCTCTGAGGGTCCACAACGGCGTCTGTATTCTGTGAGGACCCTCACCGGTGCTTATGAGGGATTCACACTAGCACCTCTGAGGGGCCACACGGGCGTATGTGAGGACCCCACACCAGTGCCTCTAAAGGCCCCTAATTGGAGGCTCTGAAGGCCCTGCATCGGTGATACTGAGGGTCCTACCAAAGGCACAACACAAGCCATTAGTCTCCTTCTGAGTCCCACACGCCGCCCTCCCACCATAGGCGGCGGAACGGGGAGGGCACCGGGGCACCGTGCCCCCTCTGATTTGGGCATTTTAACATTAGCCCTATGGGCGTTGCATGGAAAGAATGGGACCAAAAGTCGGCAGTGTCCCCCCCCCCCCTCCACTTAATTGAAGGTGTTCCGCCGCTACTGCCTCCCACCGGAGCGAGTAAACCTGTATCAATCAACGACTTTACCACCGTTGTACGTCATAATGTTCTCATCACGCCAAATCAAATACCATCCGGAACCAAAATGGTCCAGTATAAAATCTGACCTACCAAAGTTATGATCAAGTTCAGATAAAATCAAAGTGGGATGATAATAGCAGGTGTTCTTAAATCGATGCCGAGTCAGCAGAAACCATTCACTTCACATGCAAGAGAAATACCTTGTGCTGATGTTTATACAAAAACAGACATGTAGGTCCATAAAAGGGAGCAGAGATCCTTCATCGTTGCATCAATGTTGAGGGGGCGGCGCCCACTCGGCTCTCAAGTTGGAGGGGGGGGGGGCAAGCGCCCCCACTGCCCCCCCCCCCTGTTCCCCGGGGTCTATGCAGGGAACGACGCTACAAAAAAAAAAACATGAGACACCTAATAGCAGGCACTATAAACATGCGCTCGTACGTATCCCGTCAGACCAGGACGGGGATCGGGGGTAGTACTATGCAATATACATTAACACAGAACTATTTCGTGCTTTAAGATGCATAACATCACATTTTCACCAACATTCTGAGTGCCAGACAAGCCAACAGCAAGGCGTCATTTCGGTAAAATGCATTTAATGATCGTAAGCTCACAAAGCATAGCGGGCGTGTTAGTTCAAAACATTGCCGCTAGGGGCGCTGAGGTCGCTAATGCTGAGAGATAGGCCAAAGTGTCGGCGGTCGGCGCCGCATGGGTGTTAATATTTGGGGGAAATAAAAAATGTCACACGGTTTCTACGTGTCTGGGGCACGATAAAATCAGTGGAGCACCATGTTTTGCGAAAAAAGTGCCCAAAATGACACACCCTAATGGGCACCACGGCAGAATATCCAGCACTTCTCGAGGAGGACAAAAGGTCAGCGTGATGCAATCTCATCGCAGCCAAACTCGGTGGGATGTTTCACGTGTGAAGTTCCTATGTAGAGGTTATGATGATTATAGTTATAGTGAGCCGGTCGGTTGGCCGGCTGGCGGCGCGCTGGCCGCCGAGTTGGGTCTTGGTGTGCGCCGCGGGCGCTAGTCACGTGACCGTGACTGGCCCGAGGTCGGGCCGCTGATGCGGCCGGCAGTCTGGTCTGAGGCGGTGACCGGTGCGGACCGGTGCTTACGTGCTACTTACGTGATTACCTGCCGAGGCGTATAATATAAGTGAATACGTGACATCTTACACCTAGGCTGCTTGGTAATTTGCATTCCTTTTTTTCTTCTAATAACGAGCGTTTCAATTATTCTCCATTTATGAGCCGTTTTCGCGACGGACTTTCTGGCGAATGCACCTAATTTGACCAAATCTGTATCAAATGTCTTTTACACCCAATCTTACTTAATATGCGTAAATTATGAATCCATATCAGTGTTTTGGTCGATGATAATGTCTGATACTATGACGAAGAAGGCATATAAGGAGCTAGCGCAACCATAGCTAATAGCTACAAAGAAACGCACGGAATCTAATTTGATCAAATCTGCACCAAATCTGACCAAATGTGTACCAAAGGTGTACCAGATGGCCGTCGTGAAAGCGGCTACTATCGATGGGGTTTTCAACTGATCCGCTCTGTCTCTCTGCAGTTCGTTCCTTCTGTCCCTGCCAAACGTTCTGCACGCTGGGCCTGATGACGCCTGCAACTACCTGTTAAACTTCCGCAACTTCGACGGCCACATCAACAGGCTGGTCCTCAACTTCACCACTGACGACCACCACCCGCTGTTCTCGGTCGAGAAGAACTTTCTGCCTACCACTGAAGGTGGGTGTTACAGCGGTGGAGAGAGAGAGAGAGAGAGAGAGAGAGAGAGAGAGAGAGAGAGAGAGAGAGAGAGAGAGAGAGAGAGAGAGAGAGAGAGAGAGAGAGAGAGAGAGAGAGAGAGAGAGAGAGGAGAGAGAGTCCGGAAGAGGCCCTTGCGCCTAGTCGAGTCCTGTACACGGTTTATTGACGGTTAGTGTTGTTGTTTGCGTTTGTGATGTTGCCGTGGTTGTGTTGTGGGTGACAATGTTACTTTTCCCGTTGCTGCTTTTGTTGGGAGCCTAGTCATAAACGTGGCTATTTCTTGTTTATGATATTTATGATATTGTTGGTAATCGTAGAGTGTAATGGTTCCATCGCTCTCGCTTAACGTCACAATATTGCAGTTTTTTTAAGTTCTAAGTGCTTGTGCGAGGATCATTTTTTAACACTTAAGTTTGTATGCCCTCATCCTCGTAGCTTTAAAATGGATACATCTTACACAAAATAGAGCGAGGGCCAAACTGCCAGGAGACTCATCCTGCTCTCCTCTCCTCTCTATACCCTGCTGAGGTTGGAACGTGTAGCGTTCGCGGGCGGGTCGCAGACGGCAGACGCTCTATGCCGGCTATGCGGCTTCCCCACCAGAGCTAGACAAAAGACAGGCCCTCCCCAACATTCAGACCCGAAAGCTGTATAGCTCTGTTCGTTCCCGAATTATGAACCGATTTGTAAAAAGGCAAAATTTGACCTTTGGCGCGGTTGGCGCCGAGCACCGGCCCGGCACGGCTATGGCTTTATTTAACCCGTGCACCACTGGGGTATTTCTAAAACGCGCCCACTGGGGTGAGGGTGGGCTATTCATAGCCCCCTTCCAAACTCCGAAACTACTTGACAGATTGTCAAAAATCAAATGACGTCTAATATCCCTGGAAAAACTACCGAGCGAAACCTAATTTTATCGGCCTCGAGTTCACCGAAATCGTCGCGGGTCGGATAAATGTAAAAACTATCAATGTTTTGGCTCGTTCACAATTTGGCTCTGGCCACCGGTTCACAAGTCAGATCTGACTATATAAGAGTAACAATATGACACTATATAAGAGTACCTAATATTACACTATATATTACACTATATATTGTTACGGAGCGAGCGAATCGAGCGTAGTCTTTCCCATATAACGGAAAAATCTCAGTATGAGCGGCCCGGCCCGGCCCGGCCCGGCCTGTAACGCTTTTGCGAGGCTTATATCTCAGCAACCACTTGACCAATTTACATGCGGTATATTTTTGTAGGGTAGCTTCATTCCTTGTACATACCCAGTATTGGACTACTCCCGATGCATGTGGGTGACGCTTTATGCAAGTGCCACATGCAAAACGAAGAGGTGTCAGCTTTGTAACAATTGCAATATCTCGGTAACTACTGGGCCGATGGCGCTGAAAGTTGGCATGTAGGTAGGTATACCCACTAGACTGCAGGGGTGAAGAAATATGCCGAGTTGGGGGCTGCACGGGCGCAGCAAATCCCCCGTCGCCCTAGCGGTGACCTTGACCTCGGCCGTCTAGTGCGTCTCCAAAGCCAAGCCGGCACAGCCGGCGTGGAATTGGGAAGGTTTTTTCCTCCCGGCAAGCCGTCAGGCTATAGCCGGGGAGGGGGAAAGTTACTAGCTGGCAATTGGCCAGATCTTCCGTTTACGTTACGTTAATGCCGGCTATTTAATTCCGGCCCAAGAACTAAAACAAAGGCAAAAGACTACGTTAAACCGGCTCATGTGGCGTCTGGTGGGGAGCAAAACAAAGGGAAGGCCGAAAAGGTGCCAGATAGGCGAGACCGATAAATTTGGTTACTTACATAGAACTTGCTGCTGAGACTTGCTGCTGATTTGTGTGCTGTTGTTTGGTGTGTGTGCTGTTGTTGTGGGGTGAACTTTTACCAGGAAAAATCCTAACTAGAAAAAAACTTGGTGCCTATCCAAGAGGGCTAAAACCTGTGCGTTCAGCCAAAGTGGGAAGGCTCGTGCTACCCCAACTCGGCACAATTGTCCACCCCTGCTTGGCAGTGCCACAGTTGGGGTGCTGCTGCACGTGCGCACTCATGCAGGGGTCGATTTCAGATCTCGAGAACGGTTGAAGCGATTGCGCTTAGACTTGGTACATGGTTAGGGACCGGTTAGTAGTGTGCCGTGTATAAGTCAGTTAGGAGTTAGGACCCATTTTGCCGTGCGCACGTGCAGGGTGCCGCTTCCAGATCTCGAGAACGGCTAGGCCGATTGCGCTCAAATTTGACACATTGCTATACCTAGACCGGTTAGATGGGTGCCGTGCACAAGTCAGTTGGAGGTACCCCTCGCAATTTTGCACGTGCAAGGCTCACCCTCTCGTTCGCTCCGTTTGTCGCCCTATAAGCTGTTTTACTGGTATATTATACTATATAAGAGTAATATATTGTGTGCTTTGGTATGGGAGGGAAATTTTTACAGTTGTCACGCGATAGATGATATGTTGGGCTTAAAGTGGCAATTGTGACGAATTATTACTTTAAAGTGAGACGTGTTTTTGCACTTTTTCTAGCCTACGAACCGATTGAGAAAGAGAAGTGCTCGAAATATGTCGTTTTTGTATTGTATTTTTGCCATCACATTTTACTGTGAGGATAAGGTCAAATGACTCGTAGCGTAATTTCAATGATTTTCCTCATAACGCTATACTTAAACATACGCCTATAGTACTCATTCGAATCGTCTCGTCGCGTTCTTTCGTTTGCCGCCTGGCGTGTTTCGTTGCATCCATGATTTCTCAAGCTACCAGCTGGGGGGCGTTAACGCTCCTCCCCCACACCAAGTAGCGTGTGTCAAAATAACCCAGCAACTGCCGGTTGAAGTTGATAAACACCAAGACATCACCTTTGACATATAAGTTGTTGCTGCAGGTCTGCTCTTTCCGTATTTATCCAACTCCAAACATGACATTGCAATAACCTTTTGCAAGTCGTAGCTATTGTGACCTTTCAGAATGCCTGTTCTGAAATGTTTGGCTATGTTTGCATTCATCAATCAATCCAGTCTTGCAATAGCAACAACACTTTGCAATAGATATCCTATCGAGCCTGGCAAGATTGACCTCCAGAGTCCAGACATCAACAAGTTGAGGCTCGGCAGGGGAGCGGTAGCCATGCATAGGTCACCCATTACCTCAGGGAGATAGTCGATACAACCGCGAGCTCTCATGACAGCTGCACATACCAGTTACCTCTTATGCTTAAACTCAATACAGACTAGGGCAGGGTTGGTGTCAGATGTAATGTATCGCAAATAATTCACAGCGCTAACCCTGCTAATTTTTGTTAAGTAAGCACGGTAGGTAAGTACAACAGATATTAACCCTCGCCCGCACATGGGGGGGGGGGTGGTTGCCACCCCCCCCCCCCAGGTAGTCTTTCTGCTCTGCACTCAACATTTTTGGAGCTAGAAGGCTGATTTTTCGTATAGCTGCTCCTCTATCCTTCCTTGATGTCCACTGAAAATTTCAAGTTTCTGTGACCTTTGGTTTCGGAGATATGACCTTGTTTTTCAGGTCATGTCATGACCCAAATGGCCAATTCTCGACATCTTGCGTTGGCTATGGGCCTTGTGAGCTTTTGACACCTTGATTTCGGCCTTTTTTACCAGTCTTACCTCCCACCCATCATGGAACATGTTGTTCGACGATGTACAGATGTCAAGGTCAAGGTCAAGGTCAACCTAGGTCATCTAAGATAATTGCGTTTTAGGCAAGCGGAATTTACTTTTTGTGAAGTTTTTTGACTGCATTTTTGGTAAAAGCTTCTCAGATCATGATTTCATGTAATATGGACACATAAACAATCGGTGCACACATCAGTATACACACAGACACACACACACATACAAACACATATAATTGACCTTGACCTAACTTGACCTGAAATGACCTCAGCAGCAAAAACCTGGTCGGGTAGTGTGAGAAAGAGGTTCTAGCTGGCTTGGCACCAGAAAACGGCATCGTTATCGGTATATGATAAGCAGCGCACTTGATATCCAACGGTGACCCAAAACAGCAACATTTTTTAGTTTGACCTGACCTGGAAGGTCAATGACTGACCTGAGAAGGTAAAACTGGGTATCATTGGATTCGTCTCTTCCCAAAGAATCTTTTTGGTCTTTACCGCTAAGCTCTATCTCGAACAGGAACGAAATGGCGCGGGGGGGGTGGCAACCACCCCCCCCCCCCATGTGCGTTCTAGGATGGGAAAATGGCATGTGCGGGCGAGGGTTAAATATTTGAAAGAGTCTTTCGTCGTTAGCGACTTCACTGAGAGAAATTTTGTTGGTTGTTCATATGTCGAAAATATAGAACACCGCACACCACAGAAGCATGATGATGGCTTCTGGCCCTAAGTGATTGGGATGCCTTCTATATTGAGGATCGTAGTATAGAGGGTCACTATGTCTTCTTCCCTCCTCCTCCTCGATCACGGTCATCAATGTGACTACGGGCGTGCGTCGCTCTCCTCCCTCAGGACGAGCTCCCCCACGTATCGCAGCACTGTGTCGACCGCCGCCCCCTGGCCAGCCATTTGGAGGATGTGACGATACTCCCGAGCCTCCCAGCGGCTTTCCCCGATACTCCCGCAGTCTCAGATCAGGTTGGTAATATTTACAGATCATATATGCAATTTACATGGACGTAGGAATCTCACGAAAAGTGTGTTGGGGAAGGGGAGCAGCGAAACCTCAATGCCACTTTGTGGGAGCCACAATATCCCTATGATGATTTTTTTTTTTGCAGTTTTGTGCTCATCCCACCTTGTTGAACCATTTCCTGCTCTTAGTGTTGTATCGAAATCAAAAATAAAGATTCTTCTCTTCAAAATGGCTGAAAAGATGGGGCATGGCCCCGGCCCCCCTGCTCCTACGCCTACATGTACCCATTCCTTATGCGCGCTACATAGGGGATAGGTGAGGAAGCTCGAGAGATGCGGCTTGATGTTTAGTGCGGATATTGGGGAGTGTCATTGTTTACACTTCAGTGTGCAGTACTATTTACTAACCATATGTGTTTTGGATTGATCGATTAGCCACTGGTGATTAGTGATAAGTGAGTACAGCGCCTCGCTGATTGGCGATACAGTGTTCACTAGCAACAGTCGGAGGATATTGCCAGACTTCTGCCTGATTACAACGGGGTCGATTTTGATTCCCAAATTGATTCCGTTTTGGATAGGCTCGCAATAGGATTCGATTATCGTGGCCAACTATCAGCTAAAATCATAATTTAATCAGCTTCATTTGTTTTAGACATGTAATAGGATTCGGAATTAATCAAGATTTTATGCGATTTCACTCGGCTTTCTTTTCAGTTACTATCAACCTATAAGTTGTCGTTTGCGTCATTTTTAGATCAGTCGTAATTACTCGTATTCAGCATTGATGTAAATCATTTTTTTTTTCAAACTACAGGCCAACATTTTTATCAGTCGAATCAAAATCAGAATCAAACTTTTCTCTGTTATGGCCGACACCCACACGCGGAGATAAATGCTACAGTTTTTCTGTCTTTCAGGGAGCACTGCTCTCCTGTTCTCAATGATAACGCATGTCTTTTCTTTTGTTCCTCTTTTTCTCGCAGTTGACAGCAGCGACTGCGTCTCCGTTCCCGTGCCATTGAACATCTCAGACCACAAGGAGGCCAAGGTGTCTCTGAAACTCAACGCCCACGACGGTCTCTTCACAGCAGGGCCCGAAAAGGTGACGTCCCTGGCCAGAGGTCGTGCGAGTTGTGAGCCCACTAAAAGGGGAATTATTGGAAAATGGGGTTGTATAGACGCGGATTTCATGGGATGCTTTGTGAGCCAGGGTCCGGTTTATGTATAGATGAGTAAGGTTCTATAGAGCCTTTGCGCTTAAAGGGACCCTCCCACCTTAACATTAGTTTTGAGTTGAGATAGCCAAGTTTGCGGCCAGGCTCAGAAACCACCATTTATCCTGGTCGCAACCCCGGCAGCTTTATGGTGTTCAAGAAATTTCTCCCCTTTACTTGCAGGGTGGGACCAGCGTGGTCCCTATCTCTTAACCATCACGGGAATCTGATGATGTCATCAGGCTTTCGAACGTCCGTTATGTTTGACTAAAACGTTTTGTAGCACGCGGTGGTATATGCTGCTTTGCGCGCAACAAATGCCGCACTTTCAAATAAAGTCGCTAGGAACAGCGGAGATCCCAAAAAGTAAACAAAAGTAAAAGTATAATATCTTGAAAACCAGTGATTATTTTTCGATGAAATTTGGTAAATATTCGTTTTTGCCTTTCTGAACCGAGCGACATCACTTTCATGCCAATTCATTAACTTTTTTGAAGGTGGGAGGGTCCCTTTAATTAAGTGGCATTTATTGGAAAGGGTGGCCGGACAAATGGGTTCACATAAGCCGTTTTCACGACGGCCATCTGGTACACATTTGGTGCACATCTGGTGCAGATTAGATGCAGATTTGGTCAAATTATGTTCAGTGTGTCTCTTAGTAGCTTATCAGATAGGGTTGCACTTATTGCTTATACAGGGTGATCCAAAAAAATTGGAACCCCTAACTTAAAATGTCTATAAGTCAGAAAATTTCCACTTTGTTGATAAATTGCAAACACCATTAGAAAGAGCGTTCAATTCTCTATAAAACCAAGTTGATTGTACTTACTTATTATTATCAATATTGCCCTAGACATATGCCTATAAAATTTGTGTCACGAAACTCAGTGAAACGGTTTTGAACATACTATGCGCAAATCAGTGATTGACGGTTTGCTGTTCTGACCATGTCGCTTTTTGGAGGTTCATGAATAAAAATAGCTCATTCACGTGCTATTGTAAGGAAAGAAAAGACTTGCGGCCTGCTGGGACCAATTTCCCAGAGACTGCTGGCCCGCGGTCGGAGCTGTCCCCAAGCACTTGCAGGTCTGCGTGACGGCCCCCGGAGCTCGCGTTGAGCACATGCTGTGATGAACAGCGGAAGCTAGGACGCGTGTACATATCTGTTCTACTGTGTGCTTCTGTGTTAACTTTAATGAAATAAAATTGAATTTGGATGTGGAGTTATTCGCAGAAAGACAACAGATAGAGTGCTAACGGATTTCAGCGCATTGTTAACATTGGGCGATTTCGTTTCACTCAGTTTTCTGACGTTCATTCCAAAAGCTAATAGTGTGCCAATGCTTTACAACATACATTCACCAATTTGACGTGATTTTATAGAGGATTTAATGCTCTTTCTAATGGTGTTCGCAATTTGTCAATGAAATGAAGACTTTCGAACTTAGAGACATTTTAACCCATTAATGCCGCTTGGGTCATATATGACCCAAAAGCAAAATTTTAATGTTTTTTCTCAATGCAGGCAAGTGGCACTTTGAGGAACTTGTGCGTGTGTTTTGTTGGATTTGTGGGTTCATTGGCGAGCGTCTGAGCCGCATAAAACTTGTGTGAGCTCGTCCACTGACGTTTCTGGAGCCAAAGACGACGGGACTGCACAGCCGCCGGTCACTGGCAATGGCGCGCCGCCCAAAAAAGTAATATTATATTATGTTTGCACTTTACAATCTGTTGAATGATCGTCCACCTGGCATTTAAATTTGTCTGAAAAAGGCATGATGTATAATTTTGCCCTTCTTGTCGCCATCGGATAACTTTTTTCCTCGAAAAATATCTTTGGGTCATAAATGACCCAGCCGGCAATAGTGTTGTCAATTTTATCGTATGTTGAATACAAGGGAAGCAACTGATGATTATACGATTATTTATTTCAGGGTGTTGTGATCAGATCACAGTGGCGGATCCAAAGGAGAGGGGTCATATGGGTCACTCATGACCTCCCTTGGGGCCCGGGGGCAACACCGACCTATTAGGGGCACCACAGGCCTGACAGGGGCACCACAGGCCTAGTGTTGCGTTGTTGGGATAGCATGAGTCGACCGGTCGTGCGGGGCCGTGACGCAGGGCGGGCCGACGACTCGGCCGGCCGAGAGGCACCACGGGCCTGTCAGAGGTACCACAGGCTTGTTAGGGGCACCACAGGCCTGCAGGAGCACCGGCCTAGCAAGAGCACCACAGGTCTGCCAGGGGGCACCACAGACCTGCCAGGGGCACCAGAGGCCTGCCAGGGGCACCATCGACCTCACAGGGGCACCACCAGCCTCGCACGGGCACCTTGGGCCTGTAAAGGGCTCCACGGGCCTGTCGGGAGCACTTCAGGCTTGCCAAGGGCACCACAGTCCTGCCAGGACCCAGGGGCACCAGCGGCCTAGCACGAGCACCACAGGCCCGCCAGAGGCACCACAGGCCTGTCAGGGGCACCGCAGGCCAAGCAATGGCACCGCAGGCCTGTCAGGGACTCCACAAGCCTGTCAGGGGCACCCCAGGCTAGTCAGGTCCCAGGGGCACCACAGTCCTTCCAGGGACACTACAGGCCTGTCAGGCCTATGGAGCACCAGAGGCCTAACAAGGGCACACAGGCCTGCCAGCGGCACCAACGGCCTCGCCAATGAGACGTTGCAAAGCATTGCAATGCAGTGCCTCTTAATATTGTTTGGCTGACACCGCTATACAGTATACACAATAAGGTATCTAGCTAAAGTGGTTTTCGTGATAACTCCTTATTTGTGACTATACTAATGCCGGTTGGGTCATTTATGACCCATGCTTATAACTTGAGAACCGATGGAACAATTTTTTTTAAGCTTGCACAGTTTTCTTACTGGGACTAGTGTGGCTAACATTTGTTGAGGACAACTTAAGAATCAAAAAATAAAAATTCCGGCATTAATGGGTTAAGTTAGGGGTTCCAAATTTTTTGGATCACCCTGTATATGCCTACTTTGTCATATTATCAGAGAGCACCATCGATTAAAACACCGAAATGAGTTCATAAAATGAAGATATTTGCTGTAAAAGAGATTAGGTGCAGATTTGGTCAAATTGGGTGCATTCGCCGGATAGCCCGTCGTGAAAACGGCTATAGCCAACCTTACACACAACAGCCTGATTGCTGATGTTCCCTGCCCAGCCCGATGTCTAGCCGAGCGTTGGGTCACCGGTCGTATGTGTCCAGTGGTTGGGTACCGGTGAAGGGGGGGGGGGGACCTGGCGATGTCCGTGGGTGGGTGCCGGGATGGGGAGGGGGTGACGGGTGCGTGGGTGGACGCAGCGCCGATGGGTCTGGTTAGGGCCAGCCGACAGCGCCTTTGCCGCTGGTCTGGCGTGTTGGAAGGCTCGGAGCGCCATGTAATTGATACTTTGGGGTATAACATCAGTTTGTTAGCCTGTTAACAATGTTAAGAATGTCAAATGATGTTCGTGCTGGTAATAAATTGAAAAAAAAAATAAAAATAAAATAAAAAAAACTTACACACAACAGCAACTGTACCGAAAGTGTCCCTTCGAGGACGTAGCAGTGACACTAATCATCGAGCTCTTTTTTATGAACTGGGCCTATGTAGATTATGACTCCTTAGCTGATATCATCTGGTTATATTGTCTGACTATTGACCGAACCATTTGACCTCTGACCACTGACCGATATCAGTTGCCGTCTGACCCCTTGCTGACCCCTCCGACCCCTGACCGTTTGACGTCTCAAAAAGCTCCAGTTGACACCATCTCCTGCGAACAGATTAAGATACTTCGGGGCACGCCTCCTATTAAGCTGACCAATCACGACAAGCCACAGTACCGGCCTGGAGACCACGCCCACTTTCAGCTGCTGCTGCTCGACTGGAGGCTCCGCCCACTCGGCGGACTCGGCCGCTCACAAACGGTAACCATGGCAGCCGCTGGAAACAAAATGGCGCGTTCACTATAATGGCATTGAATTTAAGGGAGTCTGGTTTGAGATATGACACATTTTTAGAAATGTTATTAATTATTATGTCAGTCATTTATTTAGTAGTTTCATAATAATGGTGACAGTTGTAGATAACTGGGAAATCGATACCAAACCACTGGAAAATCCGACACCAGCCGAGTTGATTCAGCTCGGTAGCTTAATGCGGACTTAAATTCAATAAACGGGTCAACTTTGTGTAACTAAGCCACCCTCAGGAAAGCCATCATCGCTGACTTTCGTTATATATATATCGCCAGATTAACCCTCGCCCTGGCAGGGCATTTTTCATAACACGGCCTGGCAGGGGGGGGGGTCGATGCGACCCCCCCCCTCGCGATTGGCTCCTATGGCACCTAGAAACACCAAATTTGGCAGGTAGGTGGGCCCCCTGGAGTTCTCGCCCCTGTGCAAATTTGGTTGCTCTAGGTCAATATTTAGGGGGGTTTTGGGGGGTATAAATGTAAAAATTTCGCTAAAAACAGGTCAAAAGTTTTTCGCTTATAACTTTTGATCTAATTAAGATAGAGCAAAAAGAAAAGCACCAGTGAACTCAGCACGTCAAGGCGCGTCGAATGATATACTTGTTAGCCTGCTCACGTGTACTTAAAGTTTTTCTTAAATTTTAAGTAAACTTAAATTAATAAATTAAGTTCAAGTTAACCAAATTGCGTCATATCGTATATCATTCGATTCGGCTGATCACCAGGAACACAATGATACCATTTTTTAAGCTCTAGCGTCATTATGTGCCAAGTTATTGGCAAAAACGTCATTTGACCTCAGTTGACCTCATTTGACCTGACCCATGGATAAGTACACCAAACAAAGAAGCACCAAGTGACCTGCTGTTAAGTACTGTGGTTTCAAAGCACAAAAATGATAGAACGGAGCGGATATCTCCAGTATTTTCCGAATTTAGTATTTTCCCATAGGCTTAACATTACGACGTAATGACCTCTAACTGACCTCAGGTCAGTGACCTCAAAAAACCCGAACTATATGTTATACAACTCGGTGAACTTAGCACATCCTGAAAGTTTGAAGGAAATCAGTGAAAAACTGTGAGTTGGACAGGTGCAAAAAGAAAATTGAAATTTGACCATGACCTTGTACCGGTTTTTCTGACCTGGTGACCTGACCCAAGGTCACCCGGACCTGAAATTTTCAGGTCATATGTAAAAAGGTTGCCCCATAGGCTGTGCCAAATTTGGCGGCGCTGCGCGCCGCCGTTTTTACGCTATCTTCGAAAAACCTTAGGGGGGGGGGTCGCATCGACCCCCCCCCCCTGCCAGGGCGAGGGTTAAAGAGGCATGGGTGACAAATCCCTATGGAGATCGGGTGGCTCAATGGAGAGACACGCCCGTCAAATTAGGAGTGGCTTCTTTCGACTTTCACATTGCAGAAGAACTTGTGCCGGTAAGATACCTCCAGATACTTTACCTGACGCATTTCTGTCAATGTGTGTGCTTTGTGTGCACTGTGCTGACTTGTCAAATAACGGCAGGGACTAAGCCTGCTAACAAGTCTCTTGGTTGCATTCGCTAGTTATTTCACATTTCAGCCCTTCTTTGCATATCGATAATCTGAAATGATGTCCTTTTCAGTTTCGGGATGGCCAAGAACCATCCACAGTTACAAAAGATGGATACGTGGTGAGTCGTAGCGGATGGCTACTTTACTGTGCGCATGTGTAGAAGCGACATCCAAAGACCTCTTACAATGGCAGTTCAGGTTGAGGCAACTATATGCAACGGTGTATCTAATTGTATTTCAGTTGTGACAAGTATAATAACACGGAACAAAAATGATAGACGAACGCGTTTCGGCTAAATCACCGTCATCAGCGTCTAAAAAGGAGAGCAAGAGTCTGCTTTAACCCTTGCTCTTGCTCTCCTTTTTAGACGCTGATGACGGTGATTTAGCCGAAACGCGTTCGTCTATCATTTTTGTTCGGTGTATCTAATGCAACAAGACAGGTTAGGAAAGGACAATCAAAACGGCGCATCCTATTCTATGCTAGAAGCTTGATGCTCGTAGTTGCTTCGTTCTCAAGATCTCAGGGGGGGGGGAGGGCGGTTATCCGCCCCCCCCCCGTCGGTTCTAAGTTGGCGCAGACCCCCGTCGGTGCGCGGGTTAAAGCTGACCAACAGCAAAACAGACCTCAAGGCAGTGAAGGTTGATCATATATGAAGTCATGTATGGTATATGGGGCCATTCCGACGAGTTTTAGTGAAAAAAAAAACAGGGAGTTGATTTTCCCCCATTGACTTATAATGGGGAGGTCGAGAAATTGACCTGAACTTAGGTCATCGAGATCAAAATTCCTAGATATACAGATTGTAGCTACTAATCACCTAATAACATCCTGCGACTTTCAAAGGTATCAGTCATCTACTGTAGCTCTGACACTGTGGCAAAGTTGCAAAAAGTGACTTGAGGCTGGGTCATTCAAAGTGACTTGGTGACCTGCCCTTAGAAGCTAGGAGGTTCAATCTTGCACACCATGTGTAAAATCTATTAGAAAATAGTCATGCCAAATTTTGCTTCTGCGCTATTTACGAAAACCCTCAGGGGGGGGGGGGGGTAACCGCCCCATCGTCGGTGCGCGGGTCAACACAATATTGACATGTATTATACGATTCCTCCAATATCCATTGTCATTAAAATAGCATAAGCCAGGAACCATGGTCTGACAGTACCGTGCCATTTTGCATATCCATAGAGGGAAGACTGGAAGATGCACTACAAAACTGATGATTTCTACCACTGGGAAGAGTTCCATGTGGGGGACGTGTCGCCGCTAGCCAAGTTCGACGTTGATATCACGGCCCCAGAGAAGATTACCAATGATGAGGATACTATATCTGTGACCGTCTGTGTCACGTGAGTTGATTCGCCCAAGTGCCACCAGAGAATGACTAGATAGTGACCCCATGGCCGCGTAATTAGCACATAAAAGCACAACTTTGCATTATTGTGATCAGATGGTATCACTTCGGGAGCTAATCTACCGATATGCGCATTCCCCAATGTTTTAACCCTCGCTGGACCTATTGGTTTTCAACATACGCGCCGGCCGAGGAGGGGGGGGGGGGCGGGTACGACCCCCCTCGCCGTTTCGCCCCTGGTGGAGCTAGCGCGTCACGGAAAAACGAGCGTGTGCGCCGCTACGAGACGCAGAGATTGGTACCCGATTTTAATGTCCTGGGTCAACTGGTGACCTCTGAGGTCAGGTCAAGTGCCCCAAGGTACGATTCAGTTTTTGGTGAATAACTTCGCAAAAATGGCCGCAGAGCCGCGATTTTGGCAGCATCGTGTTCGCCTCACTCAGGCGCGTCGAATGATATACTTTTTGTTTGGGTCAGGTCAACTTAGGGTGTTGACCTCAGGTCACGGTCAGGTCAGCGCCCCCAGGTTACGAAGCTGGTCGAAAGAGGTCATGTCGCAAATCATTCGATTCGGAAGGTCTTCCTGAGTCCATTGGTGGGATTCCCAACTCGTTAGCTCAATTTGATCGGGAGTTATTGACGAAAAACTAATATAACCTTGATGACGTCATAAATGACGTCACGCAAGGTCAACATTGCAAAAGTTACGCATCTGACCTTGCAAGGAGTGCATAAAATCACGATTCTGTGTGCTTGAGAGAGTTGGAGATCGTTTCCGGCGCCAGAATAGCAGTTTTTTCTTCCCCATTGATTTATAATGGTGAGGTCACGAAAATGACCTGACCTTACATGACCTTCAGGAAAAATCCGAGATATACAAGTTGTGAGACTCGTAATGGATACTAGATACTGCAAGTTTCATTTCCCTGTGACAGCTTCTCTGGCAGTGAGGGCGTTGCGAAGTTGCGACATCAGAAGACCGTGCAGAGGTTCACTTAGGACGTCATAGGTCAGTGAACTGACCTGACCCGAAAATGCGGTTGGTTTCAAAAGATCCGACTTGAATCAAAGGTCAGGTATGCCAAGTTTCAGCTCTCTATCGCCAGCGTGTTCGGAGCTATCTTGAAAAGACCCTTTGGGGGGAGGGGCGGCACCCGCCCCCCCTCGGCCGGCGAGGGTTAAAAAAACTAGCGCTAAAAGCGTTGAAAAAAAATTCGACGTTTCACCAGTGCAAGGTTTTAAGTACACGCATGAGAGTCCAGGCCAGTGACCTGAGTTGAATGGAAAGGAAAACAGGATTTACCCAAGGGTCCACGAAAGGATTCGAAGGCATTGCAAGACCTATTAGAGCTTTTTTCTAATACACTTTGCGCAAAAACTAAAGAAATCGGTAGGATATGCCTCAGCCTCTTCTGGATCGAGAGCGCAGCTTACGATCATTGCTCAGTGCATTTCTGTATTGCGCCTACTAATCGGCTATGTCATGAACACGACGTTTTCATCAGGCTTTCACGACGTTTGAAACCGGTTAGATTTATTAAAATATGCTGCTCTGGTCCTCAATATACGTCTTTTTGTTACGACGTTTTCACCTTTTTCAGTTATAAATCTGGCACGCCCTTAGTGGAAGCCTCGGTGGATGCTGGTCTTAAGGCAGCAATGGGAATAGACGAAAACTCTTCCCGCATGGCTCATGCACTTGTAAGTTTCCCCAAAAGGCCTTAACTAGTGATGTAGGGGAAGTTGGGGGAACGCCGAATACTTTTTTCTGACGCCCGTAGCACGCAAGGTAGACAACATAAGCTATTCTTGTTGGCGTCATTCGAGAGGCCAGTCTTTTGCCTTTCAAACATACCAGGCGCATTTGATGAATTCGCATACCGTTAAGCGCACAAACTAAAAATATCAAAGAAGTGACTTTTTCGGCGTTGCCCCGGACTGCGGGGAAAGCCGAAAATGGGAGAAATGATCTATGGGAATGCCGAAATTGAGGTTTTGCTATTTTATCTCAAATTTTATCCAGAATTCGTCAAAGCTGACACGCGTTTTAAGAGCTTGAGGACGCTTGGTGCACACTGGAAGTTATAATTGTGTGATATAATAAGAAAAGGCCAGGTAAATCATTCCTTATGGTAACAGGCCGTTGTGTCGGTTAAAAGTGTAATTTGTGTGACTAAAAATACGCGTTGCTATTCTACAGCGGTAAAGTTCACGTAGCGTACTTTAACGCGCGTAATTGCACGTTTTCGGCATTACCCCAGCCAGCCATACTTTCATTTGCAGGCCCATAACTTTTCAACGTGCTGTATAAATTTCAAATAGGCAGCACACTTATGCAAAGACGTGCTGAAGATTACTTGACCGAATTGGCCAGACAAACGGTAGCATAATGAGTAGGAAATGCAGCTTCGAAGACGCATGTAGTGCAAAGGAAACGTACCTTGAAAACGCTCTTGGCGCCCTCACAGCCGAAGTATTCCGAATGACGACTGGTAACAAACATGCGATAATTGGTAGTCACTTAAGCTTCAGAGCATCACTGACAGGTGGCATCCATGTCGTACGGTTTTCGAAATATCTCGAATTTCGGCTTTGCCCCAGCTCCGGCATTGCCCCGACTTCCCCTACAGCTGCAGATTCACAGTGGTTTATTCTTTATGATGACTTTCACCTACCCTGGCTGACTTTTGTTTTAGTCGTGTTCTGTCATTGAATGCTTAAGGTTCGGTCATAAATAGTTAGAATCAGCAATATTGTTTCAAGATAGCTTTTTGTATAAAATCGACCTCCACATTCATTTCACCATCTCCGTATCATTTTCAGACTGATTCGAGGGGGTGTGCAGTTCTGGACATGATCATCCGATTGGAGGTATTTATACCCTGTTTTTCTTATTGGTGATTTTTACTTGCAGGTTAGCCAACTGAGCGTTTATAGAACATTTAACCGATAGGTGTGAACTGTCCGATAATTTGGAAAAAACTGCCATGAATAGGGGAGATTTTCTTTTTTCGCCAGGTATAAAATGGCATAAATACCAGTATAACGCCTTTTGGGGCGACTAACGGAGTGAGCGAGAGGGTGAGCCTTGCACGTGCGAAATTTCGAGGGGGTACCTCCAGCTGACTTGTGCACGGCACCCTACTAACCGGTCTGTAGCGATGTGCCAAGTTTGAGCACAATCGGCCCAGCCGTTCTCGAGATCTGGAAGCGGCACCCTGCACGTGCGCACGTGCAAGATGGGTCCCAACTGACTTTTGCACGGCACCCTACTAACCGGTCCCTAACCATGTACCAAATTTGAGCGCCATCGGTCCAGCCGTTCTCGAGATCTGGAAACGACCCCTGCACGTGCGCACGTGCAGCAGCACCCCAACTCTGGCACATGGATATGCAGTGCCTAGTGGGTGCCTAACTACATGCCAACTTTCAGCGCAATCGGCCAAGTAGTTACCGAGATATTGCAACAATTACAAAAGTGACACCTCTTCGTTTTGCACGTGGCACGTGCATAAGGGGTCACCCACATGCATCGGGAATAGTCCAATACTTGGTAGAAGGAATGAAGCTAACCCACAAAAATTACCGCATGTAAATCGGTCAAGTGGTTGCTGAGATATAAGCTTCGCAAAAGCGTGACCACGGCCGGCCGGCCGCTCATACTCAGAAATTTCCGTTATTCTACTAGGGTTGACTATTAAGTAATGGAAGTGCCTCTAGCAATTAAAAGCTTTTGCACGTGCACACATTTTTTTGGTGTCATCACGTGCGCCGATCTTTTTTCTATCCAATAGTGAAGACCAGATGTCTTTAGCTACATTTTACTCTGAGCTATCGACGTTTTTCCAAGAGACCACCCAAACCTGCGGCGCACGACAAAAAAGGAACCTGGCAATGGCCAAAATCGTGCGCCAGGGCGAGATCACCAGGGCTCAGTGGCCAAGTGTTATGGCTACACGAATAAAATAATGTAAGTTGCTATATTTTCATAAAAACAATACATATAACACAATAAATAACAGCACCACTACTCCACATAATCGCCTCCTAGCATCACACACCGGTCCAGCCTCTTGACCCAGTCCTGGAACGCCGCCAGGAGGCCATCTTCGCTGATCTGCGCATGCACGCGGCACACCGCCCGTCGCACCTGTTGCCCGGCGCACCTGATGCCGTCGCTCCATACACTTTTAAAAGAAATTTCCTGATCTCAGCAGGCATTTTCCCTACCACAAACTGAGATTTAATGAGCTCGCGCTGGCGCGCGATTTTGGCCATTGCCAGGCTCTTTTTTTGTCGTGCGCCGCAGGTTTGGGTGGTCTCTTGGGAAAACGTCGATAGCTCAGAGCAAAATGTAGCTAAAGACACCTGGTCCTCACCATTGGATAGAAAAAACATCGGCGCACGTGATGGCATCAAAATAATGTGTGCACGTGCAAAAACTTTTAATTGCTAAAGGCACTTCCATTACTTAATAGTCAACCCTAGACGTAAGACTCCGCTCGCTTCGCTCGCTCCGTAATTATTGCTATAAACCTGCTCGCTTTAGAGCTTAAACTTTGAAGAATATCGATTCATTCATTTATTCATTCATTCATCTTCTACTTCAGATATGTGCCATTCATTCCGAACAGTTCCCTAAAACTAAAGCTTTGTTTGCCACATTGGTACGTACGTTGCCCTGCGAAAAAGGATTTTCCTAAATATTTGTATTGAAATACCGCCAGGTCTTGTCTTCACAACGGAAACATGTCCAATTCCTAAATGTGTTCTAAGCCCAGGCGTGTTCAATGTCTAAATATCTTCACTGCCTCGGTATGTCCAACTTGTCAATGCCTTTGTTGTCCCGTTTAAGGCTGTGGACAGCAGTATGTCGAATTCCTTAAATGGTCTTTGCCCCGCTCTCTCCCATTATTTAATGGATGGGGGACCCATCCCATTCTTCACCTTCCGTCAGAGTGTCGTGTGAAATATCAATGCCTCCAAGTTTCAAACGCTTCACTTCTCGCAGCCCCTCTTGCTCCGATAATGGCGGGTGAAATCCCGTCGTCACAGTCCCCCTGCACTGACACCCGGTTGTTCGGTGTACCTTCCTTCATCCACAGAGGGACATCAGGCCGATGTTCATAAACATTCTGATTAACGTCACCGACTCGACGTCACTGATCAAGGAAGAGCGCAGTGTCAGCGTCAGGACTACAAACATGCTAGTGGATGTGGAACGAATCGTCAAGTTCGACACGATTCCGGCCAACCTCAGTCGCACACTAGTGGTGAGTGACAGACGCGGAGAAGTACGGCCCTCCAGGTATGGTTGGTTGCTAACATCACAATAATAAATCTGTATTGATGAATTCATCTAATGGCTGTTGAAAACCATTGCCGAAGTGTTGGTATGAGCCACCTTCTCATTTCTATCGAGTCATTTTACTGGACTGGCTCTGTCATTCAAAATTATTGTAGGGGAAGTTGGGGGAACGCCGAATACTTTTTTCTGACGCCCGTAGCACGCTAGGTAGACAACATAAGCTATTCTTGTTGGCGTCATTCGAGAGGCCAGTCTTTTGTCTTTCAAACATACCAGGCGCATTTGATGAATTCGCATACCGTTAAGCGCAAAAACTAAACATATCAAAGAACTGACTTTTTCGGCGTTGCCCCGGACTGCGGGGAAAGCCGAAAATGGGATAAATGATCTACGAGGAATGCCGACATTGATGTTTTGCCAATTTATCTCAAACTTTATCCAAAATTCATCAAAGCTGACACGCGTTTTAAGAGCTTGAGGACGCTTGGTGCACACTGGAAGTTATAATTGTGTGATATAATAAGAAAATGCCAGGTAAATCATTCCTTATAGGTAACAGGCCGTTGTGCCGGCTGAAAGTGTAATTTGTTTGACTAAAAATACGCGTTGCTATTCTACAGCAGTAAAGTCCACGTAGCGTGCTTTAACGTGCGTAATTGCACGTTTTCGGCATTACCCCAGCCAGCCATACTTTCATTTGCAGGCCCATAACTTTTAAACGTGCTGTATAAATTTCAAATAGGCAGCACACTTATGCAAAGACATGCTGAGGATTACTTGACCGAATTGGCCAGACAAACGGTAGCATAATGAGTAAGAAATGCAGCTTCAAAGGCGCATGTAGTACAAGGGAAACGTACCTTGAAAACGCTTTTGGCGCCCTCACAGCCGAAGTATTCCAAATGACGACTCGTAACAAACATGCGATAATTGCTGAGTCACTTAAGCTTCAGAGCATCACTGAGACGTGGCATCCATGTCGTACGGTTTTAGAAATATCTCGAATTTCGGCTTTGCCCCAACTCCGGCATTGCCCCAACTTCCCCTACCAAAAACACATCGGCTAGCCAACCACTCTTTTGCTGGAGGGCCGTACATACACAAACACGGCAAAGAAGTAAACTTGAGACGAATCTCAGACTGCAGTTACAAAGACACTGAGACTACACAAACTCGGCAAAGAAAGAGACTAGAAGAATCACAGACTGCAGTTACACATGCACAAACTACACACAGATACAGATTATCCACTACACAAACTCGGCAAAGAACTAGACTTCGGACGAGTCACAGACTGCAGTCGCACAAACGTAGACTACACAAACTAGAGCCTTCATTCACATTATCCCTTGACAGAGACTACTTATTACATAGGCAGACACTCCACAAATTCATGACTATATTCGTTAAGGCCTGGCTACACTATGCGTTTTCTGCGTGCTTTTTTGTGGGTTTGCGTGTTTTGCGTAATATCGTTCTAGAAAAAACAACGATACTAGGGCCCAATCTTACCAATGCCGTGAATAGGATTTGGCAGCACTGACCGGCGTTAACGGCACTGATATAAATGATATCCTTTTTATTTACATCCCGCTAATCTTGTCCAATAATTTTGATAGGGTGGATGATTATGAATGTTGCCTGAACGAATGAATAAGTGAATGTGGAATAGCTCTGAATGTTACCAAATGCCGTGAATGCGCATTCAGGCATTTGGTAAGATTGGGCCTAGGTACGTTTTTGTGATGTTTTTTCCTTTTATGTTAATATAGTAGTTATTTTCAATTTTGTATATAAATAATGTAAAAGTGATATTATTTATAACTTTTTCTAGAACGATATTACGCAAAAAACGCAAACCCCACAAAAACCGCACGCAGAAAACGCATAGTGTAGCGAGGCCTTTAGCTAATTTGTGAGTAAAGTTGATAATTTATTTGTGTGCAATGTGCAAATTATATATGGCATTGCAATTTATTTAGGTACTTCATCCTTTATTTTAGTTATAAGAAAAATGTTACCCTATTTACCAGTATTTATAAACGCACAAAGGGGGGGGGGGGGTTGCCATCCCCCCGCCATTTCGTTCCTGTTGGAGATAGAGCTTCGCGGTTAGGACCAAAAAGATTATTTGGGAAGAGATGAATCTAATGATACCCAGTTTTACATTCTCCGGTCATTGGCCTACCAGGTCAGGTCAAACTAAAAATGTTGCTGTTTTGGATCACCGTTGGATATCAAGTGCGCTGCTCTTCATAAGCCGATGACGATGCATAATTGTGGTGCCAAGCCAGCTAGAACCTCTTCGTCACACTATCCGACCAGGTTTTTGCTGCTGAGATCATTTCAGGTCAAGTTAGGTCAAGGTCAATGTGTTTGTATGTCTCTGTGTGTGTGTGTCTGTGAGTATACTGATGTGAGCACCGATTGTTTATGTGTCCAATTACATGAGATCATGAAATAAGAGGCTTTTATAAAAAAAGCAGTCAAAGAAACCTCACGAAAACCAAATTCAGCTGCCTAAACCGTAATGTTTTTAGATGACCTAGGTTGACCTTGACCCTGACCTGACATCTGTACATCGTCGAACAACATGTTCCATGATAGGTGGCCGTGGGAGGTAAGACTGGCAAAAAAAGCCAAAATCCAGGTGTTAAAAGCTCACAAGACCCATAGCCAACGCAAGATATTGGATATTTGTCATTTAAGTCATGACATGACCTGAAGAACAAGGTCATATCTCCGAAACCAAAAACCACAGAGACTTGAAATTTCCAGTGGACATCAAGAAAGGATAGAGCAGCTATACGAAAAATCAGGCTTCTAGCTCTAAAATGTTGAGCGCAGAGCAGGAAAACTACCTGGTGGCACCCCCCATGTGCGGGCGAGGCTTAAAGGTATGTGCCAGCTTTCCTGGACCGTATGGAGTTAATGGCCCAGATAAGGAACCGGATTTTTAGAACTTATCCATACCTTCAAAACTCATGGAAACGTCTTAAATTCTTCAAATTTTGAGTACCCCAGTGCGAAATTCGCCCCGACGGGTTGTCGGTCGTACCCCAACCACATTTCACACCACTATGAACAATAAATGCACACACTGAAATCGCTATTACCGATATGCTCATCCAATCAAGTTTCGATAAACCCGTTCATCATCATCTCCTGCGGTTTCGAACACGCCTGTTAGGTGGTGCGGTAGACCACGCCCAAAGCCAGGGCCCCGTAACGTGAGGTAGCCGAGTCAGGGCACTGGGCAGCGTGCGCTGACCCAAAGCCGGAGCCGCGCGTCCTCCCGGTGTCATGTGATAGCCCGGGGCTGCCCGCGGGGATGCGGTAGACCGCGCCCAAAGCTGCGGCCCCGGCTTGGGTCAGCGCACGCTGGCCCGACTCGGCTGCCTCACGTTACCGGGGCCCTGGCTTTGGGCGCGGCTTCTGCTCATACTTTGTGGTGCGGTGGTGGTGCGTCGGGCTGCGCGCTCTGACTTCGGCCAAGAAAAAATGCGTCAGCTGATCATTGTCATTTCTGCCACTTGCGTGTGGTGAAATGGGGTCATAACTTATGAGACGGCTTTTTCATATCAATTATTTTACATAAAATCATATTTCAAACCATAAATAATGTTCGACAGCCAAATAAAAGAAACAATACCAATACGGGCTTACAGTTTAAGGCTCGACATTGTGTTGTCTACGATTAGACAGCTGATAACTCATTCCCGTACGTCGTATGGTCGTAACACTATAATGACCTTTGCTTATTGTCACAAGTGCGCCGCATTCGCGATTGTTGCCGACGCCTGTTTGCAGGTGAGCCCACTACAGTTGTTATATATATCTAAAAACCGATAAACTTTTAGGCGAAAAAGGCACTATTCCAGGCCCATTTTTGATTTTTTTTGCGATATTAGGTAAAAACAGAAGCTTCTTATCCTAGGAAAAATAAAATGGGAAATCTTTCAAAGGTGGCACACTACCTTTAAGCCAGGCATTCTATAGAATACCTACCTAAGTAGTCAGGGATTCTATAGAATATGCGCCTGGTCGGTCAGACTTCTATAGAATGCCTGACCTATATATATATATATATTAGGGTGGTCCTTATTTTCGAAAATCGTATTTGGATACCTTGCGCCCCTTCAATCGGTGCCGTTTAACGAAAAAACATGTCTGTCAAAATTTCAGATCCCTACTTCATTATTTACTGGTAGCTCAACGCTCGTTCGTTCGTCAATGTTCGCTCTATGTCCGTTTCGTCGATCAATGCTCGTTCCCTCTTCCTCAGGTGTAACGGTTGTCTACGTCGCAAACTTCTGGGTACATGGTGTCCCCCAGTGATTAACTCTTTGGAGCGTTCCCAGTAGCGGCGGAATACCTTCAATTAGGGGGGGAGGGGGCACTGCCGACTTTTGGTCCTATTCTTTCCATGCAACGCCCATAGGGCTAATGTTAAAATGACAAAATTAAGGGGGGCACGGTGCTCCGGTGCCCCCCCCCGTTCCACCGCCTATGCAAGCTCCCATCCCGCGGCCAATCTCTCGCCTACATCCTCCACCGCCACCAAATCCTCAAGGAAACGGTCCGGGAAGCGGCCAACCGTACGTTAGAGAAGGTAGAGGAGTTCTGGGCCAGGGCCAGGAATCCCACCCAGCACAAAGGGAGAGCGGTCAAGAAGGTGGCTCTCTTCGACGAGTGGAAACGCCTAAAAAAGAACAAGAACAGGACTTCCGCCACCCAAACAGGCAACGAGGACGCATTCAAGAAACGTCTGGAAAACATCTTTGATATCGCCCACGGTGACGCAATGTCCTTGATAACCATCCCGGAAGATCGCGCCTTCCTTCTCGCCCAACGTGAGCCAGGGAGACGGGATAGAATGACAGAGGCAGGCATGGCGCTCCATTCCCAAGAAAAGAGGAAGAGGAGGAGGGATGACGCCGAAGAGAGGAGGAGGAGCAAGGCGTC